TCGTTGGAGCTTATACTTGGCGCTTTTTTTTTTACCTTTTTTTAAAAAGGTAAGTTTTTTAGGTGATTACAAATGTCACGATGCTAAAGCGTATATAATATATCGGAATGACTACAACTAAGTAAAAATGATTTATTTAATCGCACCTTTCGCAATATTACTTGTGGTGAAGAACAAAAAAGAAAATTAGAAATTGGGTATTAGAATGATGTTCGAGAATCATTTGAATATCGTCATTTCGTCACCGGCGTGATGGCAGCATCAGCCGGGTCAGATCGTGCAGCGCCGCATGAGCGCTGCTCGCGCATGCCCGATCGTCTCACGAGGCGACGGCGCGACTTCACGTACGTAGCCGGCTCTTTTTCGTCTCATGGCGACCGTACGTAGTACACGCGTCTTGTAGTGCGAAATAGTTTTCGAGTGCTCTTTGTGGACCTTCTCACCTGAGAACAGACTCGGTGTATAGACTAGCGATCTCTCACCAGTGCGACTCATCCGAGACAGCTCGAGTACAGCATCAACGGCGGCTCAGACTCACCACGCACGGCGCACGCCGGCGCGGCGTGGACACGGTTCACGGGCATCAAGGATCACCCGGCCATCGATTAATACAATCGACCCGTGCACGTGAATAGACTTCTCACAGACTTTACATTTATAGAGATTTTCAATGTAATTATCTTTCAGTATTATGACTGTGATACGTTAACTTTAAGTCAAATCTTCCGAGCTCTTAGATTACGTGTAATTCCATCCTAATTATGCGTGCATTCGCTCCTTGAGTTTTTTGCCACAACGTCCTCTCACCCTGCTTCCATCCGCAGTGGTCCCAGCGAACTTGTTCTGCGAGAATCGTGAACATTTTTTGGTCCTTCGAGCCGGATTGCGGCGAGGCTCTCAGGCGGATCAGCGCAGACACGCATCGCACACGTGATCAGCGGCGCTCATATACACGGTGACACTCATCGATCACGTGATCTCACGTCCTTCTCACGTGTCACCTCATTATGGCGGACGAACAGAAGACGGGCAAGGCGGACCGCCCGGTGACTCAGCAGCTGGAATTGCCGCCAGGAGAACGCTCATCCTCACAGACGGCGTCTCCGGTTCGGCTCTCCACGGAACTCACCCTAAAGGTGCAGACGCACATGGGCCGGATCGCTGCGCTCAAGACCATCACTGAGATGCTCCCGGAGGTTCCTGCGCAGACTTCGGTTGAGGAAGTCAACCAGTTTCAGCTCCAAATTAAGGAGACGCACAAGGCGTTCCTCAAGAAGCATGCGTACTTTGAGGTCGCATGACCGGCTGCTCTCACTCATCATGAGTACTTCGTCGGGAATGCTCATCAGGAGGAAACGCTGTGCTACATGCAAGCGCGGCGCATCATCGGCGTGCTCCGCCACACACTGGCAACTCAGCCCGCTCACCCGTAGATGAACTCATCGGCCGGCGAGGACCGGCGCAAGCATTCACGTCTTCCGGATATCTCACTCCCCAAGTTCTCTGGGGAGTATGCCGCATGGCCTGCTTTTCGGAATCTCTTCACGAGCCTGATCCTCTCCAATCAGAAGCTCACGGACGTGGAGAGGTTGCATTACCTTCGTTCGTCGCTGGAAGGCGCGCCAGCGCAGTTAGTCTCAGGGCTCTCAATGACCGGCGACTCACTCGTACCTTCCTGGGAGCTGCTCAAAGACAGGTATGAGAATAAACGTCTGCTCATTCACTCATGTCTTGACAAGCTCTTCGCCAGCTCAACACCAGTTCCGAGGAAGGCGGCAGCACTTGACAAGTTCATCACCGGTGTCAAGGAAGCGCTCAAGGCACTCGAGGCCCTCGGAGCTAAGGAGGAACTGGGGGACTGTGCAGTGGTGTACCACGTCACGTGACTCTTCGATCGCGTCACGCGTGAGCAGTGGGAGAACGCGGTTGGCGCCACGCGAGACTATCCGAAGTTCGAGAAGCTCGATGGGTTCCTAACCTCTCGCACACGGGCTCTCGAGAGGATTGAATCGACGACGAGTAGGGTATATAGGGGGATTCTAACCCATGGGGCTCCGAGGGGGGAGCGGGGCGGGGGGGTACCCCGGGGCGAGGGGACAGCGGGGAGGGGGTACTCCGTGGCGAGGGGACCGCGGGGAGGAGTACGCGACCTTGACGTCATGCAAGGTGCTGACCTGTCACTACGTGACATGTAACAGATATCTAGGTGCTGACCTGTC